TGCGTTTTCTCCGGGTACTCCGGTTTCCTCCCACAGACCAAAAACATTAGTCTGATTGGTAACTCTAAATTGTCTCTGGGTGTGAGTGAGAGAGTGAATGGTTGTTTGTCTCTATGCGTCCCTGTGATGGACTGGAGACCTGTCCAGGGTGCCCCCTGCCTCTTGCAGTGATTGCTGGATTTGGGCACCAGTGACCCCCGTGACCAGGAAAGGAAGAAGCGAGTGAAAGATAATGGATGAATTAAATGCATCCCTTGAAGAGACGCATATCATTCTTGTACTTCCAGTGACTGCACACACACTCAGTGCAAAAGCAAACCTGTCAAACAACCAAACGGCCTGAGTTCAAAGTATTTCTGACACTTACAGTAAATGAAGGAGGACACTTGTTACTGTTTTCTTAGAAGCAAAAGGACAAACCTGCATTTGTCTCTATTGTCACTATCGTCTTTTGTAATATGCATCAGTTTCAAGCACTTTTTGTTCTTTTTAGGCTGCATTAAACATTCATTATTATTAACCTTTATTTAATCCCATTGAGATCACAGATCTCTTTTACAAGGGAGGCCTGGACCTGAAGGCAGCCTAACATGCATGTTGTTGATCTGTGGGAGGAAACCAGAGTACCCAGAGGAAACCCACGCATGCACGGAGAGAACATGCAAACTCCACCAAGAAAGGTCCCAGGTCCAACTGGGGATTGAACCAGGACCTTCTTGCTGTGAGGCAACAGTGCTAACCACTGAGCCATTGTGCTGCCAAAAGTCAGTACTTTGCTGGACAGGAGAGGAGAAATTCAGGAAGTTGGAAGAACATGAGAACAATAAAGTAAGAAAATGAAGCAGAAGTGTGTTTTTTTGTGACGTGTTACATTCTCCTGCACAACGGCCTCTGCAGGAACAATACAGGCAGGGCATCGACAGGTGCGTCTGAACAGGGTCAGGAAGGAGGGAGTTTTCAGGAATCAAGAGAGGCACATGTAGGGGTGAATCCACCTGATGGATGAGGAGGGAGAACATGTGTCCTCCTGTCTTGTTTCCTTGTGGCTCATCCTCCTGCTCCAGTCCTTTACATCTGCAACCACCAGACTTTGAATCCAAGCATGAAACCTGTGTGAAGGTTCTCCTGCTCAGTGAGCTGAGGAGCCACGCACTACTGCTTCCCTGCACAGTCCACCTTGTATCTCCTCTTTCTCTCCTTCTGCTGCTGCTTTGTTTCCACAGCCGGACCTTCTGCATCTGAAGCAGGGACTGCAGCCTTCCTTCCTTTGTTTCTTCCATTAAGCATTGCAGATGCTCCAAGCTCCCTGTCCAGGTGTTTCACCTGTCTTTGAGGACATTATGACATCAGTCATGTCTTTTCTGACTAGAACTGTAGATCAGTTTGACATCCTTCACCATTGTGCTTTACATCTGCACAATCCAAGAAACACCTTCTGTGCAACCTTCACTTTCTGTCTTTAACTCTGAGGCTTCTGTGCAGAGTGTTTTTGCAAGAAGCACAGTTTTGGATTTGCAGTCGGTGACGGGGGAGGCTGGCCAAGAGCCCAGGAAGTCCAATACTGCAAAACAATGGTAAAGGTCTGAGAGTGGAAGGAGGTTTTGGAGGGCCAACTGTCTTGCCAGCACCATTGTCCATCCTGTTCGTCACAGATGTCCACAAAGTCCAGAGAGTGCTGTCAAACTGAATATATTTATAAAAAATCTCCTGTAAAGCTTGTTTTGGGGCCAAGTTTTTATTATGGAGGTGAAATGAATGAATGTTCCAATATACAGCCCAACATCTCACCCTTACAAGAGGATGACGTTTACATTTACTCATGCCTTAAAGCAGAAACAACACATGAAACCTAAATCCATCATTTGGTCCCAGACCATGTTTGGATAATGTTCTCGTCTGCGTTCCTCTCTCTTCAGTGTCCCGTTCAATCTGACTGAGCCTGACTTTTTTATTTCTCTTAACACTGCACGTCACAACCCATCCTCTGACCCACCTTCTCTTTCATCTCCTTGCCCTCCTGAACATGAAAACGAACGATCTGTTCCTCTTCCACTGCAACAAATGATACATTTACAGTGTGCACAGCACATTAGGTTCTGTTACCCTCACAAAGAATAAAAATGTTTTATTGGAAACAAACATTGCTCGTCTTGGTGTGATTCATAGCAGCTGAGTAAGCGCCCGGGAAGCCGTTAGGGAATAGGTCTTCTTGCTCAAGGACACCACAAGATATGGGCATGGCTTGGAGTTGAACCTGCAACTTTTTGGTTTCAAGTCAGTCGTCCTATCACTGCACCAGAGCCTCCTCTACAACTCTAAATTTCCCACCACATAGACACTGAATTTGGAACAAAAAGATATAATTTAACAAAAAAAAAGTTTCTTTGAGGTTTCAAATATGAAACAAGCTTCTTCAAAAGATTATTTTAACAACTGTTCAACAAATGTCCTATTTTAAGGAACAGAAATATAAATTGGCAAAAATCCGTTTTGCTCATTAGTAAAAACTATTTTGGAAATTCAGTCCACCAGAGTCTTTATTCCTGCCCTTAGCAAAAAGTAGTTTATTTAAGTGTACTACAAGTATACTTATTTTACACAAAAAATGAGGAAGTGTACTTGAAGTTTACTTTTTATAAACTTTATTTGATATACTTAAAAATAGTATCAAAATGTCCCAATTTAGTCCAAACAAATATTAAATCAGTATACTTACACTACAAGTATGGTGTGTAGTATACTTGATATACTTAAACTTAACTTAAACTATACTTGCAAAAATAAACTTCAAATGTACTACTTTTTGTTAAGGGTGAGCAGATATGTTCATTTAAAGTTCCCTGTAATGAATGAATTCTACTTCCGTGGCTGAATTCTGATTATAAAACGATGAATAAATTAATTAACCTGTTATTGGTCAGTAAACTGGCCTGGAGCCCCATTTTAACAAGCAGCATGTGGAGAATGTATCATCTGTATTTCTCCCTCACTTACAATAACTTCTGAACAAGTGTATGACGTATCCAGTCAATAAGTCCAACCTGTCATAGAGTTCTCACATGCTGTGATCTTAGCTCACTTTTAAGAAAACTTTGCAAACCTTTAAGAATTTGCTAGGATTTATTTAGATAGTTCAGCTCGTCTTTGTTCTTTGGTGGAGGCACTCATGTAGTTTTCCAGAGTCAAACCAAAATGATTAAAAATTATTTAGTAATTTATTCTGCTTAATATTTAATACAAAATTTACCAGCTCTATACTTCTTTTTTTCCAATTTAATTCAATTCAGTTTATTTATGTAGCGCCAAGTCACAACAGAAGTAATCTCTGCACAGAAACATTCATATACATAAAAAGTAAGTTAATAACATTATTTATCTGAGGAGCAGACTGCTTTGACTCAACTTTGTTGCAGACTCTCATCCTGAGCAAGCGTGAAGGTGACAGTGGAAAGGAAAAACTCCCTTGTGAGGAAAAAAACCTTTAGCAGAACAAGACTCAGAACAAGCAGCCATCTGCTTTGACCTGCTTTATGTCTGTGTGTTTAAAAGAGAAATTAACTGACATATCGTCTAAACATTACCATCACATTACATTCTGATTATTTTCCTTAAATGCATTGCTGCATAACATTTACCAGGATCAATGTGTGTTGTTTACTTTAACAACAACAGATATTTTTAAATGAAGTTGAAGTAAAAATGAAAACGTTCCCAACTCTGACCATGGTGCGCTTCTCACTCCGGCCGGCAGGTGGCGCGCCTCGTCGAGCGGCGCCCGTGAGAAGCAACAACCAAAAAAAACCAAAACCGCTCGGTTCCTTTTAATCTGCGGCTCTAACCGGAAGCGCTTAGTTGGTGTGCGAGTTGAACGTTACCTGAATAAGAAAGGTAAGAACTGAGAACCTTTTACTTAACAAGTGTGTGTGACATTTAGGAGTGTGTTGTCGGAGTGTTTGTTCAGGAGAACAGTGTGTACGAATGGAGGCAGCTTCGGGTACAATGAGGAGGACGAAGGGCAAAGTCATACGTAACGTGGATTAATGGAGGCATGAAGCCTGGAGGCTGTAGAGTACAGGACAAGTCACTGTGAATGAAAAGGTTATGATGAGGAAAATGTTAGGAAAACCTGTGAAGTTGTGTTATGTAAGCCGAACAACGTGGCTGTACCAGGACTGAACCTCCTGCCAATCATCTTAACACTGTTTAAAACCATATGGTTTAAAACAAACAGTAAAAAATAAGCTTTTATATTTCTTAACTTCATAAACAAACCAATCAGGTAACACAGATCCTCATGTTTTGATATATAAATACATTTTTTTTACATTATTAATACATAATATTTTAATATTTGTAATATTTAAATAATTTTTCACAGTTTAAGCTGGGTTGGGTTTTTTTGTGTGTGTGATGTAAACAAGTTTAACTTCCCAAATAATAATTCTGGCAATATCCGTCAACAGTAAACAACTCTGGTATCTCTGAGCTGCTCAAACATTATTGTAGTCGACCCACCCTAATTAAAATGTCATATATTTGCAGGCCTTTATGTTTTTGAGTTTGCAAAACTTTATAGCTGGAATGAAAATACAAAGCGTCAGATTTATTACAGAACTTATTGTCATAATGATTTGTCAGTGAAAAAGTGAACAAAAGCATCCCAAAGTTTTTCTGCATCTAAAAGTAAAAATCTGAGGCATTCAGTTTGTTTGTCTGAATTTGGGGTTGTTTTGAGATAATCTGGATTACAGTATTCCCACATAATTTGATTCCCATGTATGAAAACAGTTGGCCTACAGCAAACGGCTACAACCTTTATGTTATTTCAGCTGTCTGTAATAAAGTTCGTATGGAGCCGCAAACATCTACGTACTTGGCTTTTAGAAAACATACTTGCTGAGTTCTTGTGTATGTTTTATAAAATAAAAAATAAAACATACTGTTTATGTTGTTAAAACTTTTATATATATATGCTGTGTTAACAAGAAAAGGCTAAATTTCTACACAATGAATTGACACGATTCATGCAAAATAATTTTATACTTTCCATATTTGTGCAAAATTAATCTGACACCTACAGATAAATGAAGCATCGGGTCGCAGCCTAAATTCTTTAAAAAATATAACCACAACCTTTTTGTACTTAAATGGCTAACATGTTTATGAAGCGCCACTGTTTTCACCTAAATTCTTTATACCCAACAGAGCTGTATTTCGTTTTAATTCTGCTGAATATGTTGCGATTTCAGGTGGATTTGGAGAATTGCATGATTGTATGTGAAAATGGAGAACAGGCTAAGAAACTATCACTGCGACATTAAAACTGATCACTGAGTTTTAAACGTTTTAGTGAAAACTTGTCATTTTTAGCTTATTTTGTTACTCAAATTTCTGTTTTAAATAAAACAAGTTCACAAAGGCAGCTTATTCAGTTCAATTCAGTTTATTTCTATAACGTCAAGTCACAACACAAGTTGGTGCAGGGCACTGAACAGAAACGTTCACATATTGTAAATGCCACTTAGTAAAGTTATCTAAAGGAAGGAAGCAGCAGATTGCACTGAGTCTTCATTTCATCTCAGTCTCCCATCCTGAGCGAGCACCAAGGTAACAGTGGAAAGAAAAACTCCCTCATGAGGAAGAAACCTCCAGCAGAACCAGGCTCAGGACAAGCGGCCATGTGCTTGGACTGGCTGAGTTTGAGAGGAGCAGACACAGAATGGCAGGTCCAGGATGGAGGCGAGCAGGTCCCTCTCTAGGAGGAAAGATAAAAAGAAACCACATGTTAAGATAGAATCAATTACAAATATAATTTATTCATTTGTAACTATTCATTTGATGAAATTAGGTCAATTTGTCCTCCAGTAGTCTAAGCCTATAGCAGCTGGGTTTCCTGAGCTACTCTAAGGGATAACTCGGGAAACCCAAGCCAACCCGAACTATAGGATTTATCAAAAAGAAAACTCTTCATCCCAGTCTTAAACTGGACAATGTGTCAGCTTCATGGACAGAAACTGGAAGTTGGTTCCACAAGAGAGGAGCCTGATAACTGAAAGATCTTCCTCCCATTCTGCTTTTGGAAACTCTAGGAACCACAAGTAAACCTGCAGTCTGAGAGTCTTATTAGACAATTTTATGCACAGATTGCAAAAAGGTAGGACACTTGTACGGGTATTGTTTCCTTTTGTAAATTTATGAATATAAATGACTCAGATTAATGTTATTTGTAGTCAAAGTTACAAGGAGTCACTTCAGAGGGTTCAAAGAGCCACATGTGGCTCCAGAGCCACATGTGGCTCCAGAGCCACATGTGGCTAAAGACCCACAGCCTAACTAACAAAAAAGACACATCTCGTCAAGTTTTGTCACGTGCAAAGATTATATGGCACTTTTTTTTTTCAAGATGTTTCTATTTTTTAAGGGTTACTGAGCATTTGTAGTTTTCTATGTGCTTTGGAGCTTGAACAACAGGAAAAGACCAATAGTTAATCCTAGCAATGTCTTTTAAAATCTATGATAAATCAATAATAAAAGTGACACACTTGCTGCACATTTCTTGTTAGAAACACTCTAAACGTTGCTGCTCTAAAATCATCCTGGGAGTAGAAGAAAAGCTCAGACTACAAATGAGAAGTGCTTTGTAGATTAAAAGCTGTACTTATTGTGTTTGAGAGAATATTTGACTTTAGCTTGGTCTGTGGAGCGTTGCAGAAACTTTTATGAGCAGAAAAAGACGCGTAGTAAAATGTACAGCTCAGTTTATTGAGCACAGGTGGGAACGAGATCTGTGCGTACTTAAACTTTTATACCAGTAGCTTGAGAAAAACTAAGTTTTAGTTTGAATAAAGTCACATTTAACAGACCGAAAGAAACTTGTGTTTGTTTTTAAAGTCAAAATAACAGATGGCTAATATAACTGAAAAAAACAAACATAATTGCATATAAATACATATACATGGTGCTGGTCCACTGTGTGTTCTGAAGTCCACAGTCAGAGCAGCATCTACCAGTACATTTAGAGACTCTGCTGACGAGCTTTATGGAGACACTGGTTCCATTTTCCAGCAGGACTGGACTCCTGCTCACACTGACAAAGATGCCAGAATCTGGCTGTGAAATATTCTGATTTACTGAGACACTGAGCTTCATATTCATCAAAATTACAAGAAAGAAAAGTTTGAAGTAGTACACTCTGTGTAATAAATATCTATGTAATATACGAGTTGCACTTTCTGAAATGACTGACAAGAAGAACTTTTTTTCTCGATATTCTAATTTTTTGAGATGTACCTTTTTATGTATGTATTAAAATAATAATATTGTACAGTTTGTAAAAGATTCAACTCATAAATTCATAACTGTAATATACCAGTAGACCACGCAACTAAAGATCTTAAATAAATAAATTATTTACTTTAATATTATGCACAGCCAACAAAAAAGAGAAACACAGAGAGGCTGCAGTGACCAAATACAATTTCTTCTTCATTGTAAACTTTATTAAAATCTGTGAAAAACAAAACACAGTGCTAATAAAAACCAGGATTTGTTATATTCAGATTAACAACTTCCCTGACATTCTCTGTTTTATAATAAATTCTGTTTAGTTCAGGTCTGCCTTTACGTTTCCATTTTCACTTTGTGCTAATCAAAGGAACGATATGAGCAACAGCTTGATTTTAACATGGGGACGCGACTTCAGTCTTCAAAACGTTGCTATGCAAACACTATTTTATAAACCTACATTGTCATTAGTATAGTTATCTATATAGTTTTCTGTTGCGCGAAAGTGCTACAGCTAGCCGCCAACGCTGTTCTTTGTGCCTGCAACCAGCCTCAGAATTTTAACTGATTCATTGTCTGACAAAGTAAACAGCAGAGTAAAGTCTATGAACCAGCGTTTACGTGAACAGTTATATCTTTGAGATGTTTTAGGACTGCAGCAATCCACCTTTGTTGTGTTCAAACTAGCCGTTAGCTCGTCAGTCCAGTCAAAACTAAACTTTTCTTCAAGCTGAGGTCATTTGAACGTCTATCCACAACAGGTCAGAAGTCTGAAATGTTCCGTTTTTTCGTTGTATGTGTAGAAAGGAGCATTTTATGTCCCTTCAGTCTCTTATTTCCCTTCTCTGTTGCAGACTGGAATCCCTAAAGATCAATAGTAACAACACAAACATGTTTTCTTTAGGAAAACATGCAAACATTTACTTTTTTTATTACCTGTAGGCGGAGAGATAATGTTTTTGCCTGTATGTGTTTGTCTGTACCGTTAGCAAAATACCTCATGAACCACTGGAGCGATTTAATGAAACTTCAAGGAAGTCATTACTGTACTGGACATGTATCTTTTACTTTTTACCTCATGGAGTCGACCCAGTTTAAGATGGCTGCTACAGCAAACTGACCTTAGAAAACACACAACTGGGTTAAACAACCATTGTTACAGATATTGAACTAAAATTAGGTGTAGAAGTAGCCGACAGTCACAACACACAATCCAAGCACCTACGTGCTATACAAGATATAATAATAGGACATGAGACTGAAAATTAATAATATTTTCAAGGTTTGAATAAAACAGCTATACTTGTTTTTTTAGCATAAAATTGATAATTTAATATTAAAACTCTGGTTGGAAAGGTGTATCTTAAAGTAATGCTAGACTTTTAATTATAGATTTAACCAGCGAGGTTGTGTTGTCCTTTTTGGGGTCACTAACAATGACTAAAACTTTAGGCGGTTATTAAACTCACAACCTTCAGTTTTCTACTGAATGACTGTTTGATCTGTCTCTTTAACTCTACATGTGTCACTCTTTTTTTTTTTCTTGTCCCCTGTCGTGGAACAAAAAGGAGAATTGGAAATACTCTGTCCATCTGTGCACGTTGTCAGCATGATGACTTGAAATATAAGTGAGATACAGCACCATTCTATGTCGCATAGGCTTCGCCCTTTAAGGCTGTCACCAGTGGGTTTAGCTAGAGGGGTAAACCTACTAGTGACAGTCTTAAAGGGCTGATACATATACCGCTACACCCCTAAAATAAATAAATAAAGATATATACACATACACACACACATATATATACTGTATATAAATAAACTGGCCACCCCTAAACTATGCTTGCTAGTTTTTATGTTGCGCAAAAGTAAAGTTTCTGCAAATGATTGGGTGGCCAAAGATTAATCTATGTTGGCTGAGGCCACCATTGGCTACCCCCGGCTTTGCCTGGTCGTGAAAATAACTGCTTCCTCTACTTGCCAGGATTCATCAGTCCAGTTTATTTCTATAGCGCCAAGTCACAACAGAAGTCGTCTCAGGGCACTGAACAGAAACATTCATATATAAAAATAATAATTTCACATTATTTATCTGAGGAGCAGACTGCTTCGAGTTTAACTCTGTCACAGAACTCTCATCTTGAGCATGAAGGCGACAGTGGAAAGGAAAAACTCCCTTATGATGAAGAAACTTATAGCAGAACCAGACTCAGGACAAGCGTCCGTCTGCTTCAACCAGCTGGGTTTGGTAGGAACAGATACACAATGGCAGGTCAAGAATCACATGTTAAGATAGAAATAGTATCAAATGAAAACTATTCAATTTTAACAATTCAATATAAGAAATTAGGTCAATTTGTCTTCTAGTAGTCTAAGCCTATGACAGCATAACAAGCCAACCCTAACTATAGGATTTATCAAAAAGGAAAGTCTTAATCCCAGTCTTAAACTGGACAATGTGTCAGACTTACGGACTGAAACTGGAAGTTGGTTCCACAAGAGAGGAGCCTGATAACTGAAAGATCTTGCTCCCGTTCTGATTTTGGAAAATCTAGGAACCACAAGTAAACCTGCAGTCTGAGAGTGAAGTGCTCTGTTAGGAAAATATGGAACAATAAGATCTGTAATATAAGATGGAGCTAGGTTGTTGAGATGTATCATTCTGCATCACCTCAGACAAGCAGGAAAAATACTACCTCTCTTCATGTACACAGAGCAACTCCTTCCCACTAGAACATCTTACACCGAAAACATTAAGGTTTACTTTCATTCCCTGTTCAGTTCAACTCTTGAAAACACTACGTCTGCCTGACAGAAGCTTTTTACACGGCAGTGAAGGCATCACACAGTTATCGCTCTGGTTCTCGTCTCTTATTTTCTGCTCTTTTGTGTATTTTGCACAGATGGCGCACAGGCTGCTGCTACGCAGAGTTTGGACACACTCTGTGAAAGATTTCTGCTGTCTCCCATCATGCACTGCTGCCACGACCACCTCCTCTTATTCTACGTCTCATCATTCTGTCCGAAGTCAGGCCTCCTTCCTCACCGCATCACGAACTCTGCCCCTTTATCACATCCCACGCCGGGAAGTCTCCTTTAACGTTCAGGACAACGACGACTTCACAGAGAGGGTCATAAACAGCGAGCTGCCCGTGTTGGTCGACTTCCACGCACAGTGAGTGACGTACAGTGACTGAGGTGTTACAACCACCACACTGCCTTCTTGAGTACTTCTCTGGCTGCTTCATAAGTGGACTGGAGGAACAAACTAACTCCGTATGTCACAAGAACATTGAATGTAGGTCAGAAAATCAAAAATCCATCTTTTGACCCTCAGGGGAACTTTGTGAGGTTAAAACGTGTCTTCACTTATTGCTGCTGGGAATAGAAGCTTTTCTAATTGAGCACAACCTCAAAGTGTGGCACGAGAAATGTTTTCAATTAAAAAAGCTCAAGGCTTAGACTGCCATTCTAACAGAGCTCAAATATAAAATACTCAAACTCAGTGCCCCCCCCCCCCCCCCCCCCCGCGCTCCTGTTGGGGTGCAGTTGCAGCTCAGGTGGGAGTGAAGATCTTTCTGATGGGTTTTTCTGCTAGGTGTTCCCAGCAAACCCTGACTACATGTCTGGGTCTACTGGGTCTATCTGGCATTCTGCCCTGCCATCTATCGTACTTGCTGCCATATAAGTCGCATCTATTACGCGTCACCGCTGACCACCCAGAAACGTGGGCCGGTGTAGTGCCAAAAATTGATTGGCTGCCAAATGGTGGCCGCGGGATTGGAGGATTTGAACAAAAATTTAACAAGATTAACACTTAAAAACAAATATTTTTTGCTCGACATTATAGTAAAGGTGTGTCTCTGTTGAATTTTTCCTTAATAAATGCACTTTAATGGTCAAATCAGCTGCATTTCACCTGGGCGGCACGGCGAAATGCAGCTGATATGACGTTTGCTCCAGGAGTACCAGAGCGAGATGACGGTGGCTTTATATGGCAAGCCAAGTGTCTCATTAACAGCCACTTTTACCTATTAATGAGACACTTGGCTTGCCATATTATTTGAGGGTCCTCTAGCATCTGAAAATGGTAGTGTTCAATATTTTTCATGTCAGAATGAATTAAATCGTCAGATCTCAGCCAAAAATTGGTTTATAAATATGGGAGGGAATGTATTAGGTTTTTTTTAAGGTTTTTTTATTAGTTGCTTCAGTGTATAAGAAGTCTGTTGGAGTCAGTCTCCAACAGACATTTACACCTCCCCACCATCAGACATTTACACCTCTAGATGCAGGAAGAGAGCCACCTGCATCATGAAGGACCCCACTCACCCAGCACACACTTTTTGCCCCGCTCCCCTCAGGAAGGAGGTTGTGGAGCATTAAGTGTAACCACTAGACTGAGGAACAGCTTCTACCCTGAGGCTGTTAGACTCATGAATCTCTAACCAGAATAATCACTGTGAAAAATCACATCATGTTGCTGCTGATCTGTTTCATGTTGCTGTGTTCATACATGCTCATCTACTCACACAGACTCGTCCGTGCTGCTGTTCAGCATATTGTTTTTATTGTTTTTATGTTATGAGTGCTTAGTGTATTTTTAGTTGATGTTTTTCTTAGTTCATATCTTAGATGTTATTACTGTTTTTCTTTTACATTTTTTGTGGGATGTAACTGAGACCCTGCGTACATAATTTTGCTCCACCACATGTGGTGTGTATGAAAATAAAGAATCTCTGAATCTCTGAAGTCGCAGGACCTGCAAATTTATGCAAAAGGTGCAACTTTTATGGTGAAAAATACGGTAATTCAACTCGGCACTGGGTGGTGATCCGGTGACAGCTTTGCTCCTTTCTTCATCGGAGTGTTGAAAACGTGCAGCTGCAGATCAGATTCACGACTACAATATCAGTCATTGATCAGTGGGTGTCCTGGTGTCATGTGCACTTATGGACACCCTTATTTTTAAACATGGTGTCTGTTTTGGTCAAACTGTGACCAGCACAGACGTTCAGTAACAGAACACCGCTCGGTTTCAGATCAGATATTGTTCCTTCCAAATCACTTCCCTGTCTCTAACCCACGTGGGCATTGAAGTCCCCGAGCAGTATAATGGCGTCCTCAGCTGGAGCACCCTCCAGCATCGTTTGGTGCATGAGCATGGGCACAAACAGCAGTCAGAGCCCGTACCCCCACCCGAAGGCTCAGGATAAGCTACCCTCTCTGTTGAAACTAGGCCCAGCCCGGCGCCTCTCACCTTGGGCAACTCCAGACAGGGAAAAGATTCAACCCCTCTCAAGATTTGTTACAGAACCGATGCTGCACGATGAGGTGAGCCTGACTTTATCTAGTCAGTAGCTCAACCTCGCACACAACTCAGACTACTTCCCCACCAGAAAGGTGACATGCCCCCAAGAGACATCTTCAGTAATCCAGGGTGGTACCAAGGCCCCCACCCTCAGCTGTGCCATGTACCAGACCCTTCTTGTAGGGTGGAGGCCCGATCACCAACCACTCACTGACGAGCCCCTCCCCCAGGCCTGGCTCCTGGGCGGGGCCCTGGTAACCCACGTCTGGGTGAGGGTCATTGACTTCCTTTCTGTCTTCTGTCCACACGAATATCACCAAACTTTTAAACAATGAGAAATAAACGGCACAGTTGTAAAGTTTTTATCAACAATGCTCGGCTCGATGGTTTAACTGTAGTGGAAGCATGTTTTACATTTAACGTGTTAAACTTCTTTATTAGAGCAAAACACTAATAACTTTTATTTTTCACTCCATCTCAAAGTTTGTGCTCGATAATCCAGGTAAAAAAAAAACAACAAAGTTCAGTCAGGTCCTCTGGACAGTTTCTTTTTTGGTTGAGATGTTTCGTCCTTCATCCAAAACACTTCATCAATCTGAGGAGCCACAAACAAACTCAGTCCCACAAGCAGCACATTCACATAGTGGGCCAACCAGTTTGCTGGTGATGATGGTTTCTGGGGCCCGCCCTCTCCCCCGTCGACTTCTCTGATCAACCATAGCCAAAGTGGTTCAAAACATCAAAGTTAATCTGTGCGTCCAGAGGACCTGACTGAACATTGTTGGGTTTTCCCCCTGGATTATTGAACATGAACTTTCATGTTTTGAACCACTTTGGCCATGGCTGCCTCAGAGGAGTCGACGGGGGAGAGGGCGGGCCCCAGAAACCATCTAATCACCAGCAGACTGGTTGGTCCACTATGTGAGTGCGCTGCTTGTAGGACTCCTCACACTGATGAAGTCCTTTGGATGAAGGATGAAATGTCTCAACAACAACAACAAAAAAAGAAACCATCCAGATGACATGATTGAACTTTGTTGGGTTTTCATTCTGTGGTTCTGTCTCTCCAAAGCGCTGACATTTTAAAACTCAGAACAGATGGAAGTTGCGTATATTTTACTGACGGTCAATCTTTTGCTGAACGAGCCCGCTCACGGTGGATTTGTTGTTGTTCTTTTTCTGTTGTTGCTGTTCTTAGGTGGTGTGGTCCCTGTAAGATCCTCGGGCCGAGGTTAGAGAAAGCCGTGGCGAAACAGAAGGGCCGCGTTGCCATGGCAAAAGTCGACATTGATGACCACACGGACTTGGCCATCGAGTACGGGGTGAGAACTGATGCATGCGGTTTTCTACATTGAAAACATTTTTTTTTTCTATTATTCTACGTCAGTGCTTCTCAATTATTTTCTGTTACGCCCCCCATTAGGAAGAAGTAAACATTTCGCGCCCCCCCAACTCTCCGCCGCGACTGTAACTAGTATCATTTGTCTAAAAAAATGTTATAAATACACCTCTGCATAACATTGTACCCTTATTAACATTAATTAAAGAAAGAAAGAACTATAGATCAACTTACAACAAAGATTACTAACATTGTTTTATAGTCTGTAACAGAAAAGGCTTAAAGTGCATCAATTTGCCTGAAATTAAAAAATATATATCCTTATTTAAACTGTTAACATTTTTGACCATTTGATACTGAACAATCAAACTACTCCCTGCCGCAAAATGTTCCCCGGGTCACATGCGGCCCCCCTGGCATTGCTCCGGCCCCCCCAGGGGGGCGCGCCCCACTATTTGAGAAGGACTGTTCTACGTGGATTCAGTACATCTTTGTTACTTTTCATGTTTTAGTGACTTGTTCTGTTTCCAGGTGTCTGCTGTCCCAACGGTCATTGCCATGCGGGGTGGTGATGTCATCGATCGGTTCGTGGGGATCAAAGATGACATTCAGCTGGACTCGTTTGTCAGCAAAGTCATTGGACAGTAAAGCACCTGTCCCCGCCCAGCTTTACACAACCATACGGTCCCGTTGTCTGGGGTTTTGGAGCACTGTGCCACAGTCCCAGCTCTTAATTGCCAACACTCATTTCTAGACTGTCAGTTGTTACTTTTCCTTTTTATTTTATTTTTCCCAGGTTTTTTTCTTTCTTTTGTCTGTTTATGGGTGTTTGCCTCTCTCAACCTTTTAGCTGAGGCTGTTATTTTGTCGCAGCAGCTGTTTTTCTTTAAAAATGCGACGGCTTCATGATTCAAGTCACGTGCTGCGACCATAAGTTCACTGTTTTCTGTGAAAGTTTGTAGAAAAGGAAAACGTTTTACAGCAGTTATTATGTTTAACACTATGGAAGGTCTTTAATAGTTTTAGAAAATATTTAAAAAATGATCATACTGAAAGCGATGTGACAATGTTAGCTGTAACTCCTATGTTTGTCCGTAAGGTGGCATCGTTTCCCCAACTCTGCAGCTCCGCGCTGGTCATTTTACGCCGTTATGCCTAATAATGTGAGGAGGACATGGACAGGTGTGTGCGAGTTCTTTTCTGGGTCCTAACTGTGAAGCCGAAGACAAATGGGAACTGCAAACACGTTAGTTTATTACTGAAATGTACCAGAATCGAGACCGAGTGAAGAAATAAAGGAGTCGTGATATTCTCTCAGTCTTTGTTTTGTCCGTGAGGTTTTTAAAGGTTTATAGGAGCTTTGATGTCACCAGCTGATTCGCTTTGTGATCCATTTTGCTTCTGTACGTTTTTCAGAATCTTTCTCATGCCACAGTTTTTTTTTGCTATTTCAACAAATCATAAATCAAAACATTCATCTCGTTCAGGAGAAGGGTGCTATGACTTTTTGTTTTGGTGCAACTTTAGCTTTTTGAAATATTTAGCCTTTTCTGTCATTTTTTTTTTCCTCATAGAAACTGAATTGAGCTCATTTTACAACCTTCAAATCTTTAGCTCTGTTTACAACCTGTTACTGCTCCTTTCACATTTTGTTCTTCAGCTTCTTTTTACAAATTCAAACTTTATTTCAGCTACTTTCAGCTTTTTTCAGCTGTGTTTTTCTCCTTTCAGGTTATTTCTGCTAACTACAACATTTTTGAGCTTCTAAATTAATTTGGCTAATTTCTGAAAGTTTAAACTTTCTACTATTTAGCTGTTTTTATATTAATTTTAACTTTTTCAGCTAACCACATTTTTTTCACTCAACTTTTCAACTTTTTTCAGCCTAATTCAGCAAAAATGTGCTCCCTCCACTTTCTTGTGGTAATTTAAGCTCAGGACCGGTAAGCTCAGGCCTTCTGGTAATTTAAGCTTTTTTTTTCTTCGTTGGAGCAGCTCTGTTACTTTCATTCTGAGATTTTGTTTTTGGAAACTTTAATTCCTCTTTTTCTGGATGTAAATCACATTTTTTGGATGATTGTTTCCTCTGGTATCAGATGCTGTGCAGCTGGAAGGACTTTTACTGAAACTTTTTTAGTTTTGGACATTTGTTATGATGCGTAACCATGGCAACAAGGCAGTTTTCTACAGCCCCACATCTCAAGTGAGTTGAAAGGATGTTCTGTGGATGCATTCTCATCTACCTGCCAGCTGTGCTTGAGTGCCTGACCACTGAGATCCTGGAACTAGAAGGAAACACGGCTCATGACAGCTGAAGGACAGGATCGTACCTCAGCACCTACAGTTGGCTGTCCGCAGTGATGGGGAGCTCGGCAGACTGCTGGGAGGAGTGGCCATCGCTCTGGGAGGAGTTCTGCCCGGCATTTAGGTGGTCCTACAGCCCGGGGGAACAGAGAGGCCAGCTGAGTCTGGGTGGACGGATCGGACGGCATCTGCAGCCAGTTTCTTAGGATCCACTGTGGGATGGACCTTTACAAGAGATCCTTCCTG